TTTACCTTATCGTTTTCATATACAACGAATGGAAATGCTTTTCACTGTTCTCTCTCTCTCTCTCTCTCTCTCTCTCTCTCTCTCTCTCTCTCTCTTTCTCTCTCTCGCACAACCAACACCTAAGAGTATGTAGAGTTCTTGGTTTGCTTTTTCCAATGCTCATCAAAGTACGCTTTGCGTGCACTGCAATGGAATTGCATGTTGCAGCAAGTCCTCGAAATTAAAACCATTAATTTTATATGTAATTTAATAAATAGAGAAATAACACGGAGAAGCAGAAAAAAAACAAATACTGAAGTGTTGTTACCCTGAAAGTAACACTTTTTCCACGTAAAAAATGTTATTATCCATTTATTTTGAATAATGTAAATGCAAAACCCAAACAGTAAAAACGTTTCGTCGACAAAATGTATGATTTCACATCGGAAAAGAAGAAGTAAAAAGTCAGCAAGCACACACAACAAGAAAAATAATGTCGCAATTGCATAGTAGACGAAGCCATGCGGTCACACATCATCAGCGACAATAACACAAACAGCAGTAGCACACAATTGCAAAACTGGGTAACATGTTTTTTTTCGTTGGTTTTGATTTTTTTTTTCGTCGCACCAATTCACGCTTTATCATATGTATTTGTTCGTGTAATTCTATGTGTGAGAGAGAATGAGAGAGAGAGAGAGTGCGCGCACTCTGCGTTCTCTACGTTTTTGCGACACACAGAGAGAGAGAGAGCTAGTCGCCACTGAGCATATCATTCTGGGCTTCTTTACTCTCTTTTTTCACTTCTTTCTACAATTTCAAAACAGTTTTTTTTTGTTATGATAAATGTGCAAGGCACACACATTATTCGGGCAGTTGCCGTGTGTACGTCTCGTGATACAAATGCCAGAAAGTTCATGCATACATCGGAGCCGATGCCGATGCCGATGCCGATGCCGATGACGACGACAACGGTGACGGCGGTGACGAAGAGAGCGCGCAAAATGTGTGTGATCGAACCTGAGCCGAATGCTAATACGTGCTTTATTTTTAAATTGCGTACAAAAGAATATGTTGGTGAGCTCAACGGGCCGAGCACTCAGTATCGAGCATTTTGCGCTTTTTTTTCGCTCTGGCGTGCTCCTAGACGAACAATAATTTCTGTGTGAACTGCGTTCGTTTTTTTTTCTGCTCGACTCTCTGGCACTCTCGGTTCGTGAGTTTCATTGCCTTTCTCAGTATGGAGACAGCAGCCAGCCAGTCAGTGCACGTACTATTTCTCTTTTTTTTTGCAGTATTGTTATTGTTGTTGTCATTGCTGTTACCCGTTGCTCCTTAGCCGTTTTCTCTCACCGTGTGCATGTGTGTGTGTGTGTGTTTATTACGCGAAGAATGATCGTGCTATCATGGGTGTTAGTTGGTTTAACGTACGAAAATTTCATTGATTAAACTAAATTGACAAAGTCAATAGGAAAATAACGCGATTCGCGAAATTATTCTCGCTTGGCGCTTCAAACACTATCACATACTGTATCACACCGACCAAGCCACACACAGAGAGACAAACACATACACACAGTGTGAACCGAGTAATTGAAGTTCGTGCCATTAGAAGGGTGATCATAGTCGGTTGCATTTTATGAATATTTTATATCGATTTTTGTGAGTCTCTGTACCGTGAGCACAGTAGCAGCTCTCCATCTGTTTGAATATTTCGAAGTGTGTTCAATATTTGGTCGGTTTCGTTCTGTGAATGTGAAATTTGAGCGTATCATTTGAAATTCATACCGTTTTTTTTATTATGTCTAGATATTGAGTTAATTACGATTCAATTGCATCTAAGTGAGAAAAAAAATACTCACGCATACGAACGGCATCTAAGTGCGCCTCAGCGTTGTTGTTTTTTTTTTTTATCTTGTGCTGGCTAGAAAAATTATAAATAAAAAAAAGAACGGAGAAAATCATTCGGCAGAGCACGAGAGAGAGAGAGAGAGAGAGTGGGAAAAACATCTCTCAAAAAAGGAATATTTATTTATTTCGTTGTTGTTGTTCTTGAAAGATAAAAATAACGCACATTTCAACTGCATACCGAGTGTAGCGAATGAATGAGAAAGAGCACCCGCATATTTCTCTCATAGATCGAACGCACTATACACTCACACAGTAAATGTGTATATAATCGAATCGATAGAATTATTTCGTTCTCCAATCGAGTTTTGCCAAAAACAATTAGCCGCACGAGAACTATGTAACAGTGAGCTAATGAAATCAAGCATATCATAAACAATCCGATCGGCATTCGGCGAACTATTCAGAACACTGTTTACGGGTTTTATTTTGGTTTTGTGGAATACAGAGAGAGAGAGAGAGAGAGAGAGAGAGAGAGAGAGAGAGAGAGAGA